TTACGGTGGCCAATTTACCATTTCAACTTTGTTGATATATCCAAATTATTTCGTTACTTCCACCGACGCAGCCCCAAACAGTTTCTTTCGAAACTATCAGCCTTTATTCATTTCTCTAAATAACGCTTTTTTATTGCCTCATCAAGCTTCTTTGCGTAGTCAGACAACGGTGTAGACGGTTCTTGGTCCGGGAATTGACTTTTATCTGTTGTATTTTCGCCGGAATCCATGATAATCGTGAGCTAAACTACCAATATTATATAGCTTTGGCATAGATTTACATGTCCTAGGAGGTGCACAAACATGGCGGGCGCAATAATGTGTGACGTCACACGAAATCGATCTATTGGCTCAAAGTTTACCTAACGAATAAACAAACATATGTAAATAGCAAATGTGACTTGTGAGAAGCGAGATCGTCTTGAGGATAATAACAAAGGTTAAAATCCAGAATTCAAAGATGACAACCTCCCAGTATAATTGATAGGCTGAATTTGATGGGAAGATGGCAAATTATTCGATCTTTTCCGGTTTACAAGGGGTCTTTGAGGTTTCCATTACAATGACCGGAGAGGAAGGGTACTGGGTATTTTCAGATTTGCAATTTCGCGGAAGGCATCTAATGTCAACGTAGGTCACTTGTTATTCTTCGCTTTGCAAAGAGCTTCCTGCTTAATTGTCTTCCCGTGTGAGGTATACTTTGGACTAAATCAGTAAAGGTAAGAGTAAAAATGATATCATCAGATAAACCCTGAAGTATTTCCAGCTCTCTCTCTACTCACTAAAAACTATAACACACAGATAACCTCGTTCAGTTTACGTCGAAACCGTTTGATACCGAAATTAAAACCGACTGAACTGATGGGAAGAGACTGAAGAAGTGACTTTCAAATCTATTTGCCCGCTTTCGCTTTTAAACTCAATGCTCACGGACCTGAAGCCACAAATACATGACACCTCAAATGGAGAACCAGCGTAAAAACTTATGAACATTGAAATAACGGTAAAACGCGGAGCACTTCTCGATTTTGCCGTACTTCAGACAAAATAACAGAATTTGTCCCTTCTCACGTTCTTGAAAAAAGTCCCTCTACGAAATGATTTTAATTCGAGGAAAGCCTCCGATCCTGAAGCTTATTTTCTTGCACAATTTCACCCTAACTGCATTGTTCAGTCAAATTAACAGCAAATGTAAAAACATTGTTGTATGGAAAATGTTTATTTTTGCCTAACTAATTTACTCAATTGCATTCATAGCCGGGTTCCCGTTGCTTGGAGGTAAACTAACATGTCTTACAGAGATCGCTTGATTGCTAACCCAGGGAGAACCGAACTCGAACGGGTGCACACCAAACGAGTTGAGATTAAAGATGTTACTGTCACCGTTAAAGTCAGAAATGAAATCCACGCGTATACAAATCATTACATTAAGCAGAGCAAACCTTACTTCCCGAACGAGAAGTTGCCCATTTACATCAGTTGTCCGCATTTTTAAAAATCACCCCAATCCCGGGTGGTTTTAGCATCTTTGGAGGCATTGTTGTTTTTGGTGTATCTAAGGCCGTACCTGCGTTCTTTCTCGTTGCTTGCCTGCTGCTCTTCATGATGTTTTGCCAAGACGAGTGGGTGAATGAGAAAACTCTGCCTATTGTACACAAACAGCCCTTCCTCGATGATCAGAAAGGCCTGAACAAATTCTACGACGTGACCATCACTGAACTTGATGGAATTGCTCTCCAAAATTACCAAGCTGGGATTGGTTTTGTTAAACTTTCACAGGGAAAGATCCAAATTCAGGCATTCAACAAGAGAGCGAAGAAACATATGTCCGACTCCAATTGTCAGTCACGAGTATTGCTGCTCGCTTACTTGGTCGCTTCTATTTACAACTGCTACTTTGTGGAAGCCCATTGACTGACCAGCCCGCTGTACGGACGGATATCATGTTATGCAGATGGTAAAAAACAGTAGTTTACATGGAGTTCACTGTTGCAATCCCTGATTTGTAGTTATGAGTAACCACAGAAATAAATCAACAGAATTCCATCGAGTCGTATTGAAAAGCTTTCATTACCAAAACATAACGTGCATAAACGCTTGCAGGGTTTGAGAAATTTGTCATTAACCTCCGAAAACAGTTCAGTATATTTCAACTCTTGTTTATAAGAATTTGGTGGATTGATTGAATTTTCAACAACTCTTCTAATTATCCAACATGAAAACTGCATGACAACAAACTCAAGTACTGACCTCTTAGACTAACAACAAATTTATGCGGCTGACTGGTTATTAATAAGAAAGGCTCAAGTGCATGGATATCTAGAAGAAAGTGACTATAAAGCTAGCAATATCCATTGAGCCTTAAAGAGCTGCCTGGAGTAAATGTCGAGGGAAAAGGATAGCTTACCAGGTTTGCTATCTGTCTTAAATCCCCTCAGACAAAGCAGAGAGAAAATATGTGAAATAGTTGACATCCATTTTCCTTTCCACTCGCTATTATCATACCATGCGTTTCTTGGAGTCAGGTTTCCATGACAATTGGAACAATCCGTTTTCCCGGAAAGACCGATCTTTATTTTGCCACTCACGATCGCGAAGTAATAGCGATTCTTCGAAGGTCTGTTGATAAATTGTCTTTGTATGTGCACAATTTTCAGCCTTTAGTACAACACTAAAGGTATAGTTCGCTTAACGAGTAACAATCAACTCTTGTCGATACCGTGACGAGTTTTTCTTGGCTAAGGAACAGTTCTTACCAGTGTGACGATGTCTGTGTCATGGGCGGCTGAACTTCTTCGCTACAGGCAAACAAGAATAGACAGTGTTGGCTATAAAGTGAATATTCCTCGCGCCTCTGTGCTACGTTTCTCAAACATCTTCATCATAGAGAGCAGGCGCTTTATGCCTCAAGCATATCTACCAATTTACCGCGATGTACCCTTGTGGTTTTCAATTCTTGTGGCTGTGATTAGTTTTGCTGGCGCTGGTTCGCTCCCTGGCGCCGTGATTTTCCTGATCTCTGGTTTTCCATTAATTACTTTCTACTTGCAAAATGAAATGGTCAACAGAAAGTCACTTCCACTCGTCAAGAAACAACCAGTGAAGAATGATCTTCAAACGCTCAACAATTTGTACGAGGTAACTGTCGCAGAACTCGAAATGATCGCTCTTTCTAGTTACGATACGGAAATTGGCTTCCTGAAGACAAATTCTGGAAGAGTCAGCTTCCAAGTTTTTCACCCTGCAGCTTTTCAGATCATGGATAAGGCCAAACGTTACTCACGCATCATGCTCGGCGTCTTCCTGTTTCTCGCAGTGTACAACACCACCTTTACTTTTCTGTACTCTTTTAAAATCTTGAAAGATTGAATCATCTACGACGAGTGGACTATATTATCTGAAGATGGCTATGCAGTCTAGGACAAGAACTTAAGGCAAAAACTCTGATGGATATAATTATATAATCATCAACAACTATCAGCTTGGTTTTAGTAAATTGAAACAAAGATAGAGGCACTTATTTTGCTGGTTTCAGTAGAATCCTATCGTAGACCTGATGTCTTTTTTGAGCGACTGCAGACCAAACTAACCTGTTTTGTGCCACAGCAGGCTACGGTTTAAGATCTTACAGTTAAAAGAGGAAATACCATCATACACAAGTTAAACTCAACGAGTGCCATCGAGCGAATCATGTTCTGACATTAAATTTAATCTTTATGTCGCTTATACAACATGAAGCTTCCTCCACTCTCTGAATGACATAAGTGATAAATAATATTGCTCAGTTGTGTTATTCCGTTGTTCGGCATTGACTGAAACGGTGTTTAGACTGGAGTATTTTTTTAGACTTGACTTCTTGACAGATCATTATTATCAAAACGAAGTTGTGCTAGCTTCATCTTTGTTTGTTATGATGAAACATCATAAAGTTGGCAGCAAGCCCAGCGAAGACTGAAGGAGGTTTTAGCTGTCGCATATAATCTTCTTCGCTGCTCCATTTGTTGCCAATGCTTGGGACGGTTTTCCAACGGATGTGTCTAGTAATTGTACTAAAGGTTGTTTTCTAGAGCCAAAAAGCACAAGGTTTTGGAATTTATTTTAGCGAGCTTGAAATGAAACAACTACTATCGAATGTCAGTTTGATATAGTTTCCGAGAAAATCAAATTTTATAGCTCAAATTTTACTGAATGCACAAACAAATTCGTACAAATAACTCCTGCTATTTGCTAAAACTGAGAATGTTTTCAATGTATTATACCAAAGTAAAACCCAAAGTTTGCAGCCTCTTGGCGGTTTTTATAAGCTGGATCTGACGAAGTGATGAGTCCATTGCGATTATTATTTGCAAAAGGGTTCTGAGGAATCTGATGGGTCCTGTTGCCATGGAGAGGAGTGGTTACTAAGTACATGTATTTTTGTTCAATTTTCGCAGAAGGTCTTAGCTAATCACATCAATTGGAATCGAATCCTCCATTGTTTCGCTGTAACAAGATCCGTTTCCTCGAAAAAATTATCGAGTACAACGCGCTTTGTGTTTCACATTAGAGACTTTATGCAAACCACGACGGTCGCGGCAGCTAGAACTTGACACGTGCGTTCTAATTCAATGTCTTTTTTTTTTTTTAACTCCCTAGCCGTCCTCTGCAAAACAAAATATATTGATAGAATGCAGTTATTTTATACTTTCCTCCAAGTCTTTTGTAAATGGAACACCTCGACGATTTTTATTGCATGTTAGCTTTTAACTACAACCATCTCTCGTTGTAACTTTCTGAGTTACTTCTTGTGAAGGATTATTAAATAAAAAATTGTCTTTAGGCCGCGTTTCAATCGTTTTAAAAACAAATTTAGTACCACCAAATTTATTTCGAAATCAATTTTTGCAGAAAAACCATTCATTAGGGACCTTAAGCAACCACGACGGCGACGGCAACGAGGACGTGGAAAAACAATAGCTCAGCACGTGCATTTTGAAACTTTGTACATTTCTTAGCCGTGCTATGCAAAACAACAACGTGAAATCGCCAAAATTTGCGTCGTCTGCGAACCGAAACCGCGACGGCAAATTATTTTAATTTCCATTTGGAACTCAACGCTACTTTTATACGTCATGCTGAAGTTGAGCTGTGGCGCCGTATGAGACAGTAAGCTCATGCAGCCATTTTTGAAATTCTAACTAAGAGTAGAAATTCATTTTTTAATCGAAGTCTTCCTTGGCGTTGCCGTCCTGACTGCTTAAGGTCCCTAATAAATGACTGCGGTACGGTTTGGTATCAATAGGCGTGCGGGCCAANAGCCGTCCTCTGCAAAACAAAATATATTGATAGAATGCAGTTATTTTATACTTTCCTCCAAGTCTTTTGTAAATGGAACACCTCGACGATTTTTATTGCATGTTAGCTTTTAACTACAACCATCTCTCGTTGTAACTTTCTGAGTTACTTCTTGTGAAGGATTATTAAATAAAAAATTGTCTTTAGGCCGCGTTTCAATCGTTTTAAAAACAAATTTAGTACCACCAAATTTATTTCGAAATCAATTTTTGCAGAAAAACCATTCATTAGGGACCTTAAGCAACCACGACGGCGACGGCAACGAGGACGTGGAAAAACAAGAGATCTAATTGGCAGAACAATAGCTCAGCACGTGCATTTTGAAACTTTGTACATTTCTTAGCCGTCCTATGCAAAACAACAACGTGAAATCGCCAAAATTTGCGTCGTCTTCGAACCGAAACCGCGACGGCAAATTATTTTAATTTCCATTTGGAACTCAACGCTACTTTTATACGTCATGCTGAAGTTGAGCTGTGGCGCCGTATGAGACAGTAAGCTCATGCAGCCATTTTTGAAATTCGAACTAAGAGTAGAAATTCATTTTTTAATCGAAGTCTTCCTTGGCGTTGCCGTCCTGACTGCTTAAGGTCCCTAATAAATGACTGCGGTACGGTTTGGTATCAATAGGCGTGCGGGCCAACTGAACTTAGATTACAGACACTTTGAAAAATTTGTAGTTCAGTTCTCGTAGTTCACCCAGCGTGGGCACATTTGTCTACATTAGTCTTGCATCTCTTGCGACTCACTTAACACAAATTAACATCATTCTTTTTTGATAACAGACTGGTATAGATGTGAGGGGAATGCAAAAAAGGCTGATTAAATCGAATACTCAATCCTTATATAATTTTATTTCGCTTCTATGCTGGCAGACACCACAGGAAAAAATTAATAATTGTTGATATCTTTACGCCACTTGCAAATAAACGATAGCCTTTATCACGCAGGTTCATCAAATGCAATGTCAGCTTAGACTGTGAGGTGGATTTAGTCGATTCAATACTAAATATTCCATTAGAACATGCTAGCCACGATCAAATCTACCAGCAAGAATATGCGGAACAACGTGACAAGTATTGGCAAGGAGAACGGCAAGAAGTACAGAACTAAAAATGGTCGATATAAAAAATCTAAAGAGCCTTGTCGACTTGTGTTTTTGTTAAGGAAATTCGGCTTAAGGCAAAGCTGAACAGATTTTAACGGAGAGAAACGTCCCTTATTTTATTTCAGTAAGGTGCATCAAGTGCAAAAAAGGCTGATATTTTACAATGATGGCTATGAAATGACAAAGGGGCGATAGTGTTAATTATGAACACTGGTACGGACAAAACATTCAGCAAGTTATGGTTTGTAGCAACGGCAACCATTTAATAATTACCTTGTTCTGTAGAAAATTGCTTTGTTTTTCATTTAATAAAGATCAATTCCTAGAGTTGAAATTGTCGCTCACCCTTTGTAAAAATACAGGAAATAATCTTCCATGCATTTAAGGTCAATAGCCATGAATAATTGAGGATGTTTACAGTTACAATACTCTTCGAGAATGTCTTCTCAAGATCAATAGCCAATGATTAATTGACGATGTTTACAGTTACAATTCTCTTCGACAATGTCTTCTCACTGTAACATATGTAATCCATGCTTCACTAGCTTGTATCAGGACTCGTAGCATTACTCCTCTACAAATATATTAAGTGCCAAAACAAAGCGACCTATGCAGAATATTCCACTCCTCTCCCCATTACTGATTGGCTAAAATGAAACTTGGAAGACATTATATTTTTCAACTTCCTGTCAACCTAATGTTAACTGAACACCAGAGAATGATAAGGCGATGAGAGATAAAATGAGGTTGAAGCGTTTTTGACGAAAAAAAAAAGATAGAAGGAGAAGAAAAGATCAGAAAAACGCCGAGGAAAATAATCTTTGACTGAAAGGTCAATCAACTTTGTTGCTTGAAAAACAGAGGAGAAACTTGCCTTCCACTCATATGAGGGCGATTCGATCTTCTGTTAAAAGCTGACATGCAGTAAATTGAAATCGTCAGGGTGTACCATTTACAAAAGACTTGGAGGAAGTATAAAATAACTGCAGTCTATCAATATTTTTTGTTTTGCAGCGGACGGCTAGGGAGTTAAAAAAAAAAAACATTGAATTTAGAACGCACGTGTCAAGTTCCAGCTGCCGCAACCGTCGTGGTTGAATTGCATTAAGTCTCTAATATGAAACACAAAGCGTGTTCTACTCGGTAATTTTTCTGGGAAAGGGATCGTGTTACAGCGAAACAGTGGAGGATTCGATTGCTTTAAGACCTGCAAAAAAATGAACAAAAATACATGTACTTAGTAACCACTCCTCTTCATGTCGACAGGCCCCATCAGATTCCTCAGAGGCCTTTTGCAAATAATAAGCGCAATGGACTATATCATCACTTCGTCAAATCTAGCCCATAAAAACCGCCAAGGGGCTGCAAACTTTGAATTCTGGGTTTTACTTTGGTATAATACATTGAAAACATTCTCAGTTTTAGTAAATAGCAGGAGTTATTTGCAGGAATTTGTTTGTGCATTCAATAAAATTTAACAGAGGCAGCTCAGAGAGTGGGACTCAACATCAGCAAATCGAAAACACGCATGCTGAAAATTAATTGCAAGAGCAACAACTCGATCAAATTCCAAAATGGTCAAGACATCCAGGAAACAAAGGACTGCACTTACTGTGTAAGTGCGGATGGGGGAGCAGATAAGGACATAGAAAGCAGACTTTGTAAGGCCAAGACAGCATTCAGGAAGTTGAGGAAAGTGTGGAGCTCCAAGCAATATAGTAAGAAGACAAAGGTTAAGCTATTCAACACCCTCGTGAAACCGGTCCTTTTTTATGGAAGTGAAACATGGAAGACAAATGCTAAAGATTACAAGAAACTTGATTCTTTTCAGTACCAGTGCCAGAAGAGAAGTTAGAACATAGCTAGCAGAACCGCGCAATCAAATTCAATCTACGTACGCGTGCTCAAAATCCCGATAGTGCACGCTGATAGCGTCAGCAAATTGCTTCGCCAGAAATTTTTTTTTTCGCGCGAGCGGCCATTGCTAGCGCGGGGAAAAATAATATATTTCGCGACAATAATGGATACAACTCAAGAAGCTAGAGTTGCCTTCGGCTATCGCCTTGGGCAACTCTTACGCTTCTTTCGTGCTCTCCAAACTTCCCGCGTGCTCCATAACTCGATAGTGCACGCTAAAGCATGAACCAATTGTTAATTAGAACATAGCTAGCAGAGTCGCGCAATCAAATTCATTATACGTAAGCGTGCTCAAAATCCCGATAGTGCACGCTGATAGCGTCAGCAAATGG